GGGTGGCTAGGCCATGATTCTCAGTGGTTTGGCAATTATGATGTAGTCATCTCCCATGATGAGATCTGCTATGAGCAGCCGATTAGTGGAAAGGGAATTTCTGTGTAAGCGTGGCCTGCAGCCAATGCATATGGATATTCTGGCAAAGCGCTCTGGCTTTATGCTTGATCTGGCTTCTCTGTCTGGCTCTGTTCTTTGGACTCGAGCCAGCTCTGTTGCCTACAGAGTTTGGGGTTCGTTAGCCTCCACAGCCTGTGAGCAAGCAGGCTGCTGTCTTACCTGCTAATCTCGGGGTCGTCAGCCCCTGTGGCTACAAGAGTCAGAAGAAACCTCCAGCCTGATGTCTGACCCACGTACTTGACACTTGCCAGCCTCTACAACTGTGTGAGCCATTTCCTTGAGATAAATCTGTCTATCTGTCTGTCTCTGCCTCTGTATCTAAGTGTCACTGCTTCTTGGGAAAGCGGAGCTGGTGGGGCTGGAGCAAGGTGAGGGGTGTTGGGGTGGGAGGTGGGCTGGTGGGGCAGATACCTCGCCTGATGATGACCTTGGGCATCGGGGCCTGTTCTGAGGATGTCCCTCCCACAAGTCGTGCCGCCGAGGGTGCAGGCGTGCGACTGAAGGACAGTCAGGAGGAAGGGGAGCAGCTCAGGGGCCATGTGGCCACGGACGGCAGGCGGAAGGACTGCGGGTGGAGGAAGGGAAAGATGTGGCCAGCATGGCTCGGAGGACAATGTCTGGCTGTTTTGAAGCCACCCACAAGAATAAGCCTGGCCACTGAGCAGCACATTCCAGGAGGGAGTGGGGCCTGGGCGTGGGTCCCGGCCAACTGGGAATTCAACTAATTTTAAGGCTTCCCATTTTTGAGCTGTGTGACCTTGGGTAAGGTACTGAGCCTCCCTGGACTCCAGTTTCCTCGATGCTTGCTGTGTGCTAATTGCTTTAGGACACGGTCTGCTAACATGCTCCCCACCACTGTGAGGCAGGGACTACACCAGTTGCGGTCAAGGACAGTGTGACTCCTGGTGACCCCATGTGGATCAGATTAGAGCTATGCTTCACAGGCTATTCAGTGACCTACCTTCTCAGAAGTAGATCACCAGGCCTTTCTTCTGGGGGGCTTCTGGGTAGACTTGAACCTCTGACCTTTTACTTGGCCCTGAGCCTATCAGCTGCTTGTACCACCCAGGGACTCCTGCAGGGACGATACCACCCCATTTCACATATTAAGAAGCAGAGGCTCAAAGGGGTTAAGGGATTTGCTCAAAGTCACCCAGTGAGGAAGTAGCAGAGTCAGGACTTGACCTGAGCCCAACCACTTCTGAATTAGATACTCTTTCCTCATATGCCTTCAAAACTGTCAGCATCCATCCTGATCAAAAGGGGGAAAATGCAGAACAGAATCTCAAATTCTCATTGAGTCCAGATTTCTGGAGCCATGGAGGCTGGATGCATCCCCGAAAGTGTTCCCCTGATGTGATCTTGAAGTCTTAAACCAAAAATATCCCCTGAAGTCTTCTAAAAAGCACATAATGGTTTAGCTTCACTAATAAGCAATGTGTGCCTGGAACATGGTGGTCTTGTATTGTTTCTTTTAAGATCTCTCTCCATGGCAAATCAGAATGGCAGAAATTGCACAGGGATGAAAGTGGGGAGGCAGGAATGCATAGGTCAAAAGGCCCCAGGAACAAGTAACCACAGGAAGGAAGTGGGAAGAGAGCTGTTACTTTGTGAGGATTGTAATCAGTGTCAGGAAACAAAATGTGTATGAACTGCTGAATGGAAAAGGAATCTGCTCCGTAAAATTTCACCCAAACCCCCCAAAAAAAGTTAAAAAGAAAAAAAAGGTTCTACCTGAATGAGAGCAAACTGACAACAGCAATTTGAAAGATTAGAAAGGAAACTTAGGAGGTAGTGAGCTGATGTTCATGAGAGAAGAACAATTTGGAAAAGGTGGTGAGAATAGGTCACACAACTTGAATGGAACCAGCATCACTGGATTATACGTGGAGAAACGGTTGAATTTGTGGTAGGTTTGCAGTGCAGGGTCTCAACAACAATAAATAATAGATTATTAAAAAAAAAAAAAATGTCAGTCCTCTCTCCATCACGGTTCCATCCTTGCATTTGGTGGTGTGAGTGCTCCAGGATGGACAGCATGTGGGTCCTGTTGCCTGGCGGTGACCTCCAAGAATAAAAATTCTGAGCGCGTGAACCACTCAACGGGTTTCATCCCCTGGGAGAAGAGCTTGGTTTTGTACCCCTTATCCAGGTGATGAATCAGACTTAAAGCACAGGGCTGGCCTCTCAGTGGGGCTTCAACGCCCACAGCCTGACCCACCCATGCTCTTACCCACGTGGCTAATTGGATTCCTTTGAAAGAGGGTCCAAGAGCTTGAGATGTGTTAAGGGGACACTGTTCTCAGGGGGCCCCCTTTGCCAGCCCTCTAAGCCTGGACTCCTTGGCAGAGGCATACCTAGGATATGGCAGCTATGACGTGTGCCCTGAGTGCCACTTGAGGGACACCAATGACCAGTTTCTACTGGCAGTCTTCATTCAGCAATTTAAAATGAATCGCCATAGGCACTGTTTCTGCAGACAGGTCTCTGCTTCTAGGAGCCGCAGGGCACACTCTCCCTAGGGACAGGGGCTCTGGGTTCTAACTCTGCTGTTTTGTCAAAACAAGCAGCTCCTAGTTCTGGGAGGAGGCAGTTCTGTCGCTGACTGTGAGCAGGGGAGTGCTGGGCTGGCCTAGTGGGGACTGTTGTGAGACTAGGACACCTGGGCGTGCTCCCATTTCTTTTTTGGCCCCCTCCCCCTGCTCCGAGACAGGCTCCAGGGAGGGGGTGGGTCCTCAGATCCCAGCCCTATCTCTCGTTGATCCTGATTCCAGGGCACGTGGGCTGTGGCAGGCACTTGGAGCTGACCCCACTTGGAATACTGTCAACCACGGATGCCAGGCACAGCCCTCCACCGCCCGGGCCCTCCATCGCCCTGCCCAGCACTTCCAGAACTGGGCACAGATTCTCACCCCTCCCCCAGCACTGTTCATTGGCTTGAGGGTCCTCTCCAGCCACTCCCACCAGTTCTGCAGCTGTCTGGGAGCACCCCCTGCCCTGCAGGGAGGAGCCAGTCCGGAGCCCGCAACTGGCCTGAGGTGGCTGCGAGGACAGTGTCACAGAGCCCGACTCCACAGCCACCTTCACTCAGTGCCAAGCGCTGGGAAATTATCCAGCTGTCCCTTTTAGCACTCACTTCAGGGAACCCTGAGCAGGAGGGCTGTGTATCAGCTCACTGACGAGCATGGCGACTGATGCACCGAGAAGTTAAGGAACCTGCCCCAGGTCACACAGCTCGTGAGCGGTGGAGCTGGGCTTTGTGCCCAGGCAGAGGGCTCCCGAGTTGGTACTGCTGACCTCAGACAAGATGCTGCAGCTCACAGGGACATGCGTGGAGGGGTTCACCAACAGCATGGGTATTAATATGTACATATACACAGTGTCGTGCAGTTCATGTCAACTCCTAGTGACCTCACATGACAGTAGAACTGCTCCATGGGGCTATCTAGGCAATAATCTTTATGGGAGCTGATCACCACGTCTTTCTTCCATGGAGCCACTTGGTGGGATTAAAGCACCACCTTCTGGGTTAGCAGCTAAGGGCTTAACTGTTGTCACACCAGCATTCCTTTAAACCCCAAACCCGGTGCCGTCTAGTCAATTCTAACTCATAAAGCCTTCACAGGGCAGAGCAGAATTGCCCCATAGGATTTCTGAGGCTGTAATCTTTACGGAAGCAGGCTCCCATACTTTTCTCCTGTGCATCAGCTGGTGGGTTTGAACCACTGACCTATAGGTTACCAGCCAAGCACTTATCCACTGTGCCACCCGGGCTCCTATATTTATCATATACCAAATGTATTCACATATAAAATGAACTCATTTATCTATCAAACCAAATTCATTGCTGTCGAGTCGGACCGACTCATAGCGACCCCTCCCTGGGTTTCCGAGGCCGTATCTCTACAGAAGCAGATTGCCCAATCCTTCCTTCCGAGGAGTGGCTGGTGGGTTTGAACCGCCAACCTCCTGGTTAGCAGTCAAGCGCCTTAGGCACTACGCCCCTAGAGCTCCCCACCCTTATATATGGAACATTATGTGTGTATACATGGTTGTCAGTAGGGGCTGGGAGAAAGCCAGAGCTGTGTCTCTGTGCCTTAAAAGTTACACATGTGCTCACACATGTGTGTGTGTAAAGCCAGTTACCATGCTGATTCTCACTCCTGTCAACCCCATGTGTGTCAGAGTAGAATTGCTCCAAGGGTTTTCCTGACTGTAATGTAACAAAAGCGCAATCGCCAGGCTTTCTCTTCCCCAGTGCCAGTCTATAGAGGGGTTTGAACCGCCAACCTTTAGGTCAGCAGTCAAGTGCAAACTGCACCACCCAAGAACCTGTGCGTGCACATAATTTAAATGTACATATATAATGATATACGATGCATCTTCATGCTGTTGTGAGGTGCCGTCAGGTTGGCCCGTGGCTCATGCAGACCCCATGCCCAGCAGTGTTCCCTCCCCTCCCCTCCCTCACTGGCTGAATTTTGCAAGTAGATCCGCAGGCCCTTCTTCCAAGACACCTGTGAGTGGACTCCAGCCTCCAGCTTTGGAATTTGCAGCTGAGCACTGAGCAGTTTCCACTGCCAGGGGTATTGTCAAATACATACATTTTTTCGGAAAGGCACTCTTCCAATGCATTCTTCAAACGCACCAGGCTAGCTACTCTTACTTCTGGGAGCACTCCTGTGTAGAGCTAAAAAGTCATTTGACAAATCTTGGGAGAGGTGTGATGGGGCCGTTATTAGTAACAAGGGCTGTCACCGCGCACCCTCCTTGCACAAATACGCGGCAGCGCCGGGGGGCAGGCTGAGGGCTGAGCTCCCGCGACCCCAGCCTGGCCTTCACGCCCGCTCCGCCCCACCCCGTCCCGGGTCCCGCCCCAGGCCTACGAGAAGCGCTTCCCCACCTGCCCGCACATCCCGGTCTTCCTGGGCAGCGAGGTCCTGCGCGAGTCGCTCAGCGCTGATGGGGCCGTGCACGTGGTGGAGCGGAGCTGCCGGCTGCGCGTGGAGGCCCCGCGGCTGCTGCGGAAGGTGGG